AATCAAGGGTGAAAGTATCCAAAGTATGCCACAGCATAGCCCAAGAGTCCAGAATGCCACATTCACAAAGTGACACTTATCAAAACCCACTGCTTGATCTAAGGCATTCCCAGTCACGCATTCTTCCTTCATACCATCTTTCCTGAATCAAGAGGAGGAGATGAGAGGCTCTGAAAAACAAAGAGATTATATCTGAGCAAGAAATCACCTGAAAGAATTCAACAGCCTATGGCCACTTTTAATCAGCTACTGGAGCACCCTGAAACAAACCCATATCCTTGTATTTCCTTTCACACCCATTTGAGCCACGCTAGTCCAATGCTGGAACCACCAGAAAGTAAAGGTTGCCATCCAGCAAGCCAGTTAGCAGGCATGATCAGAAACACTGGGAGTAGCAAGTCATCCATCATGGACAGCTGGATAAACTTTCCAGCAATTACAAATTCTCTGCCCAGTCTGTTTTCATGCAGCAACCAGTGCCCATCAGTCTTGCCTGAAACAGCTGGTCATAGTGCAAAGTCCGTCCTCCCATCACCCCATTTCTGAACTCATTCTTTCAAAGTGAGAAGGAAGACAACTTTTGGTCAATAACTCTGACAAAGCCATTTTCCTTGGGGTATTAAATTGGGAGATAAGAACTTCAGGGCTTTGCACAAATCATATTAGTTCAATGCTCAAATCCGGGTAATGCTTCTTTTCAAAGTATTAATTTCATTTATTCTATTTTCCCTCCCTGTGTTTCTGATAACACAAGTGCACATGGCCTCTAAATGAGATCCTTCTATTTTATAAGTTATAATCCTCCCTTTCTAGAGTAGTAATGAGATGTCTTCGCTTAATCGCGTTTATTCCCCCCCAGCTTCTGCTTTTATCCATTCCCATTCCACATTGATTTGTCTTAAAGGTTTCAGTGGAAACCACCAGGCAGAGAGTCACTGGCTCCAAGAGGCTCCTGATGCATATGCTGCACATGCTGCTCAACCTTCAGAGACTACAAAAGCAAAAAGGAGGAAAAGGAGCAGCTTTGTTTGCAAAGTTTTCTTTACTGGTAGGAAGGAGAAAAAAAATAAACCTGAAAGAACTGAGAAGTTAAGAAGACATTTTGATTAATTGGAAATGAAAAAGGAAAGACTTTTCACATAGAGGAATAGTGAGACTATTCTCAGCATAGTCAAGCAATTAAATATCTTGACTGACAACTTTGCAAGTTCCTCATGCTGGAAATAGAAAAGGATTTAAAGATAGCTGTGTTAATTCTTGGGTATTTCACATGAGACTTATGGCATGGCACCAGCATTAGTTAAACACCCTAGGCCTTGCTCTGAAATACTGCATGTATAATCCTTGTTGTGTTGCAAGTACCCACAGCATTAAATTATTCAAAGAGTCCACTCAGCACCATGATCCTGCAGTGTTGCACGAACAAACAAAACATCTCTAAGACAAATTAGGCAGAGTTCTTCTACAGCAGCTTAGCAGACTACTTCCATTTGAGCCAGTCCCCAAGGTTAATCAAGAAGCTATATTCACTCAAAGAGAAAAGTGAATGCTACATTATTACTTAAAGAGCTGTTTTGCTTCTTCAACTAAAGCTGTAAAGAGTTTTACTCAAAACCCAAGGTATCTAGAAGCTAAGTACCTTCTTCAAAGTCATTAAAAGAAAATGAAAGATCAAGACAAAAATGTAGAACAGGACCCAGGTACTTAACTCTAAATCTCTTTTGAAACCAGTAGCTTCAAGGAGAAAAAAAAATTAGCAAAACAAAACATACAAACCACTATAAAATAACGGTAAGTTTTAATCTGCACTCTGCCCCATAAACAATCAAGTAACTGGCCCCAGAAGCTGACTGCAAGTTCCATATCAAAGGTTAATTCTAGTCCACCCTCTCTTTGTGTGCACTATATAATAACACTGAAGTGCTTAGAGCAATATTTCCAATAATAAAAGTCAGTGAGCGAAAGCCATAAAGAACAGATTAAATGAAAGTAACGTTCAGCACAATCACAATGAAATCACTTCAAAATACAGCTATGGTACTTGGATTTGTACAAGTGGTATGGTTACAGGAGAATGATCCAGCACTGCTACAGACAACAGTACAAGAAAGGGCAACTAATCACTTAACTATTGATATGTTAAGGGCACAGGGCAGCTCAAGATCTTGTAAATATTAAATATGTAAATATTAAAAAAATGGATAAAACTTTCTAATTATATGTGGCATGGTTTTCAGTTTTTACCAAATTAAGTGTTGCTTAAGAAGCAAATTATGCATTATTTCTCTCATGGGAGTTGCCCCACTTTTAATCTCACTTCCCTTATAGGTCACAACAACAACAAGAACAAGCCTGGAAGTTTCTCCCTTATAAATGTAAGCAGACCATTTCCATTGCTATCTGCACCTGGATTACCACTAGGTACCTTGAGTTCCACTACTATTTTCTACCTGAAAGAGAAGATTGACACAAGACATGGACGAGCAGCTCATATCCAGTATTTTCCCCATTTGCTGGGGCTAAAAAACAGAAGAGCAAAAACACTCAAGCCCGATTCATATAAAGGAGGATAATACTAGAAGATAAAGGACAGACATGGCTTGAGTAGGATTGAGTCAACACAACAAGGAAACCATGCCCAAAAGGAAACTGTAGCTAAGATAAAGCAAGTCTGATAGGGATCCCAATAATTTAAGTCTGGCCAAAACAGTTCCTGTTTAGCATGACATCTAGAAGGTGACAAACAATAGCTCTGCCCTCATCTTTGCAAGGACTAGATTATCCCATTTTTTAAGGATCCTAAATTTATGACTGATCAAGATATAGTTAAAGAGTAATGAAATTTAACAGTTTCTCATTCCTGTACCACATTCTGGGCTAACACCCCACAGTCACTATTTATCACAAGGGGACCCTAATCACATTTTTACAGAGCATCAAGAACATAACATCTGGGTATGCAACACTACAGGCTTAAAAGCTAATTCAGATAATAGAACAGCTTTTGTATGTGAGCAGTCAGGTCCCAACTCATTTTCGAGGTGTCCTCTTTGCATTTCACAAATATTGCATGACTCTACTAGCCACATTTCTTCAGGATTACCCTCCACCTCATTGCAGGAAGGCAGGGCTCTACTTTGAGCAAAGTCACATCTTTAGATTGGACAACAAATCCACCAACTTCTTCCCCTTGCTCTCACAGAAACCAGTTAATTGCATTCATAAAGAGAATATTCTCTTTCTAGTGAAAAGAGAGTTAATACTGCACCTGCTGACCCAGATGTCTTTTGCTGAGGAGCAACAGTCACCTGCCTCAGACATCACGGCTCTGAAGCTCAGCAATGATCCAACACCTCAGGACACAATCTGCCAAGAGGAAATTTCCTGCAACACAGCAGCCATTCACAAGCTATATCTATCTAGGAGAGCAATCTCAGACACTTACCAGTCCAATCATATACAAATTTTATCATGGAGACAAAGTACAGTTGGGTCCAAAACAACAAACAGACCAATTCACAGAAGAGAATTTCCTTAAAGACTGTTAATCACCAAAGTGAAAATACAGCCTCTTGCTTTCTAAGCCTCTAAGTCCTAGAACAACAGAATTTGCAAGGGTATAGGTTATATCCCTGCTCTCCATTAGCAGCTGCTAGAGTTCACTGTCAGATACAGACCACAGCTATAAAGACCTTTTCTTTGAACCACTGTCACCATTCTTATATAAATTTTATTTATTCAGTCCCCAAAAATATCTTATAATATAACCATAAATGCTAATTGCTCATTTTGCCTGGGTAAGCCAGGCCTGTTAGCACTCAACATATAGAAAAAAACCCCAAACCTCATAGGATTCTTCACTTAAATTAAGCATACATTGGTTAAGCTACAGATTAGTAGGATGAAAGAACCACAAAAAAGGCTATCCATACTCCAGTCTGTCCTTTCCCTAAACCATCCTTTCAGCATGCACCAGGCAAGGAGAATTCTCTTGGTCTAGTTCTCTCAAAGTTTTAACAGCACAGTTGAAATATGGGCAGTTTGATCTCACTATGGCAAACATGGCCCCACCTTGCTGTCACATTCTGACCACTGCAGGTCAGGAAAACGTGGCAGCTCCAGTAAGGCTCCAGACTGATTACAGACAGCACGCCATAGGGATGGCAGTATGCAAAAAAACCAATATAAAACAGTATCATGTGAATATTAAGCACCAATGACAATCTCAGTGTACTGCAGTGATTGATACAAACCTTTTGCTCTACTCAGCCTCATCTCACTGTACTTCTGCCTCCAGCACTGCTCTTCTCAGCACTGCATGGCAGCAACCCAATGGGTCATCCTGACAACACCAACGTGCCTGACTAATGTAAAAGCTGCAGCAACAAGTCCCCAAAAGTAAGTCTGCCTGCTGGGCAAGAACAAGTTGGTTTGGGAATCAGTGGTGTGTCCAAAAAAGGGTTTATGCTTCCTGGTCCCTAAAAATCAATCCTAGACCTTCTTCAAAAAGTTACAATACTTACCAGTTTTATATCAGTTCTTCTGTTACCAGATTTATAAAAGACTCAAACAAATGAAGATACTATTACTTTTTATTAATTTGTGTACATGCACAATTATACTTTAGAAAAAAACAGAGCAAAGTCTCAGGATACATCAGGTCAGCAGAATGTGATCATGCATATATTGAAACATTTATTTCATACACTTGACAGTTCAAAAGAGCCCTCTGTAGCTAGACAAGGATCACATACACCATACTCCCTGCCATTGTAAAGCTGTCCCCAGCACAGCATGTCTTGGAAGCATGGAGTGACATGCTGCAAGTGCAGCTTGCAGCTGCACTGTGAGCCAAATGTAAAGTGATGAGTGAGGTGAGGAGCGTTTCAGCCTAAACCCAAGTTTCTAAGTTCATCACACAAGTGACATTAAATGAATCCCCTCAAACAGAGCCATTTTAGCCTGTCCAGGTTGGACATAGTGGAGGGGTTGTTACTCACCAGCTGGGCTGCTTTCTGCCTTTCCTCAGTAATGCTGTTCCTTGCTTTGGCCTCACTGGCTGCTTCCCTTTCTCTTTTGGCTAGCCAAAGCAACTCCTCCTGGACCAGTGCCTGCTCTTCCACATACCTGTAGGAGCATCAAAAGCAGAGAGAAGGTCATCAGCAGACTTCTGGCAACTTCATGGCTTGTCATGGAGTACCCCTGCTTAGAGCCAAAACACAAATCCAGAATCTGACACAAAATCTGCTCACAATCCCATTATCAGCAGGAATTCAAAAGCCCAACTTTAAATATGACCTGCAATTTCAGTGAGGTACAACTTTGGCAACAGCAGCAGACATAGCACCACACAAATGTATATTTCAGTTATATTTAGCTCCATTAAGTACTTAATTATCACCTGAAAGCAGTGAAAATAGGAAGCAGTTAGCCAGAGAAATAGACACTGCTTTGGAAAAGATCAAGGGACATACAACAATAAAAGGAGTCAGCCTGGCTGACAATGCTGCTCTTTGGCTGTTACACAGGAAAGAAAAATCACACAAAATGCATGCAGCAATAGCACTAAGAGAAGCAGCCCTTAACTGAAAAAGGCTTCAAAGGGGATTCTCAGGCATTAAAACATAATCAGAGAATAGAATCACAGAATTGTTAAGGTTGGAAAAGATCAAGTCCAACCATTAACCCAACGCCACCAGGTTCACCACTAAACCATGTCCCCAGGTGCCACATCCACAAGCCTTTTGAATACTTCCAGGAATGGTGATTACACCACCTCCTTGGGCAGCCTGTTCCAACGCCTGACCACCTTTTCAGTGAAGAAATTTTCCCACATACCCAGCCTAAACCTCCTCTGGCACAACTTTCTCTTGTCCTGTCACTTGTTACACCTGTGAGAAGAGCCCAACCCTCGCCTGGCTACAATCTCCTTTCAGGTGTTGTAGAGCCATAAGGTCCCCCCTGAGCCTCCTCTTCTCCAGCCTAAACACCCCCAGCCACTCCCAAGGAGCCTTGTGCCCCAGCCCCTTCCCCAGCTCTGTTTCCCTTCTCTGGACACACTGCAGCCCCTCAATGATTTTGTGTAGTGAGGGGCCCAAAACTGAGCCCAGGATTGGAGCTGTGGCCTCAACAGTGCCCAGTACAGGGGGACAATCCCTGCCCTGGTCCTGCTGGCCACACTATTGCTGATACAGCCAGCATGCCACTGGCCTTCTTGGCCACCTGGGCACACGCTAGCTCGTGTTCAGCCACTGTCAAACACACTCATTATGCTCAGACTGAAGTAAAACTCAGACATATGCATACATACATATATTCCCAAATGAGCTAAACTACTGTCTTTTTCAAGAACTTCACACCTCACCTCCTGTAGAGTTCATGCTCTGCAGCAGAGTCATTTGCCTTTGGTGGCTGAATTCCTAGGAAGGAGAAGAGAAATCTGTGACAACTAATAGTACTACAAATATTCTTCATCATAACATAAATTATTTTAGGAGAATTTCATATTATTCATCAAGAGAAAAAAAAAGTCAAGAAAATTTAAGTTTGATAGACAGAGACTGAATTTATGAAACAGAGACATCAACAGCATCATTTTCAACCAGGTACACTGAATAAACCACGCTACAGAAAACTTCTGTGTGAGGATACTAACTCCTCAAACCCTTATATATACTGAAACATGAGCATGGTTGTAGACCTACTTTCCACTTCCTTCCTCTAGTTCTAGTAAGTCTTCCTCTTGACTTCCTTCTCTCCTTGTAATTATAAGGGATTCCACAAGTGAAGATTAAATTATTTGATGGAGTTCAGGCCATCCATAAAGCTAAATCTACATTCAGGAAAGACACAGGCTCACACCAAACAAATCCCCAAAAAGCAAAGGCCTAGTTCCCCAACTTCATTTTAGTCTGGATGCCTTAAACAAATCCACACTGCTGATATATATCAACAAAGCCTATTTAAGAACCAATAGAAATCAAATAGTTTAATGACCTGAAAAGAAAGACAAGTTGAGAAACCAAATTTTTATCATCCACTTAGCCAGCAGTGCTTAGACAGGTTATCCCTCCCTATGAGCTTTGAGTAAAAAGCAGTATTTCCCTCACCCATGCATAATACACACCCTGCATATGTAAAGCAGACAACAAGGCAGTCTGCCGGAAACAAAACCAAAATATTTCTGCCTTGTTTATTGCATATCTGAAATGCTAGAAATGTTCACAAAGTGATACAAGCTAACCAAAGAGCTCCTCTCACAATGAGGCAGCACTGAAAAATACCAGCATCCTCTGTAACCTGCAGGGGCAGCACCACCCCGACAGTACCTGTAGGCTGGGGCTTCACTCCTGCAGCCAGTGAGGATGGAGCTGTGCCATTGGATGCACGGGGAGACCTCTGGATGTCCGTTATACTTATAGAGGAGCGTTTCATTCGGTTCACCACATCTTCAGTGATCTGAAACACAGAACCAGGGAAGACATGAGCCAAGTCAGTTTCTGATGTGTATTTCACTGTGAACCTCCCCGTTTGTTACTTTCCATGATGCTACAGAAGTATTGCCAGTAACTCACTGCAATGTCCCTCCAGTCCAGGTGGTCAGCACTTGTATGTTGACTTGACATTTTTAAAATCCTATCAAAAAGTGACAAAACCTCCAATCTACTGCCTGACCCTAAAAACTTCACTAGACAATCTTACACAAACAAAGGTGGAGAGCAACCCTAAACAAGTCAATCCTTTGTATAGGGACAAATTTACCAGAAGCGGAAGGAAAGGAATTAAGCAGGTTTTAATTCCATCTTTTCCTCTTCTTGCTCCACGCTAGCTAAGCCAGCTCAGCACGGCAGACGTGTTGCAAGCCATATGACAGAGAACAGCCATGCAGACCTCCCACTCACATAAGGCTGCAAACATGTATGCCATCTCAACTTCATTTTCACTCCCTGACATAGGTTCAAACCCATGAAAAAGAAAGAAAAGTTAACTTGAAGTTTACTGGCAATTCAGTCCAAAAAGCTTCTCACAGCACTGTTAAAATTGACCCCTTCCACCTGCCAAGGTCAGAGGGTCTGGCTGCAGAACAAAACAAAATGAAGCTGTTCCCCACCTAGACTTGCCACAGTAGAAGACATATTTTCAGCTATACCACTACTAGCCAACTTAACAGCATTTTTAATACCTTCATTTTACATTGTTGTCGTGCCCAATTCCTGATTTTAAAGGCACAAATCTTTGTCTATATCCTGTAAAGAGAAATTAGACAAAGACAACTTTACCTCCACCAAACATGAAACTTTAACAAGGAGATAGGCACAATCTTAGCTAACTTTTGTCAAACAATTAGCCAAAACAGGATGAAAAATAAGTAGCCACAGCAAAACACACACTGTAAGTTCATTTCTGGCAGATTCTAGGGGGAAATCACATAAAAGTATCAAGAAGCAAGAGCAATGCAAATAATGGTAGTAATAAAAAACCCCAAAACTAACATGCAAAAAAAACCCAAAGAAAAATATTAACGGCGAAAAAAAAATACTCCTTAATCAGCACCACCACTCTCCAGGGTTTGTTTCCACAACACGCTCTTGTCAATTTCCGACCGAAGGTCACGAAGCAGTTTCCCGCTGTGCCCCGCAGGCAGCCCGTCTATTTTCACCCGCTTTTCTGTGCCCGCCCGTTCGCAGCGCGGTGCTCTGCCCGGGCTCCTGGCACCGCGCACAAGGGCACAGCTGGCTCCTCTGCGTGCCCCCAGAGCAGCAAACGGCTTGCAAAGCACAAGGCAGGGGCAAGCCGAGTCGTTAAGCAGCGAAGAGGGAAAGGGGGTTCAGAGCAGAGTTTGGCAGTGAAAATAAAGAGCAGGTGTGCCCCTGCTACACAACAGCCATGCCCAGGCCCCCAGCCCCCTTTCCCACCACTCACCAGTCGCTCCATCACTTCTCCAACCCCCTATTCCTTCAGCTTTCCAAGTCTCCCTCCCATCCTTGCTTCTCCCACTCGTCCCTTCCAGCCCTGCACCTCGTTCCCCTGACCTCCCGGCCAGACCCTTCCCCAGTCCAGCTCCCCCCGCCCCCGGCCCTCGCAGCCTCCAACGCCCGGCCCCACGACACCCCCGGGCCGCCTCACCCTGATGCCCTGCAGCACCCGGACTTGGTCCCGCTCATCCAGGCCGAAGGACACCCTCCTGCCGCCGTGGCTGCTCGCGCTGCTGCCCATGCCGGCCGGGGTCGCCTATCCTCCCCGCACCCGTCTTCTGCACCGGCTGCCAGCAGCGCTTCTGCTCTCGCAGCACCTGCCAATATACCCGCTCCCCATTGGCGGCGGCAGCGGGACGGCCAATAGCGAGGCGCAGTGCTAGCGGCTGGGTGCGATGCATGCTGGGGGCTGTAGTTTGTGCCCGGCGCCGGGGAAGCGCCTCCGGGATAGCGGAGAGTCCCGCTCCTGTCCCGGTGAGCCGGCCCTCTACACCGCCCTGTCAATGAACGCGGCATCAAAATTGTCCGTACAACTTCCACTGCTACACGTCCAACTCGCGGGGTTTTCCCAAGCTGAGGAAGGATGACCTGCCCTGACACACACGGGTGGGTCCTGCATGGGGCAGGCCATGGCTGATACAGTCCCCATTGCCAGGCATGGCTGATCCACAGCCCAAACCAAAGGAATGAGATAATGCCACACAGAGGCAGCTGGACCAAAAAATAACAGCTTTGGAGAATCTTTTTCCAACAAGCTTTCTGCATTCCCAGAAATACAGGTCAGTTGGTATCAATGTGCCACTTTATCTACTCAGCACACTCTACTCCTCAGTAGTGCAAGGAGCAGTTTTTAACTGTTCAATGCTATTCCACACTGCAGTTAATGTGGCAGCCAGAGCTTTGCCTCAGAGACTTGGGCCAGCATTAAGGGAGTACCTAGGACTCTACACCACCCAAACCCCTCATGGAGATGCAGGACTATTCTAGAGCACATTCCCAAAAGCAGGGAATATTTTTAGCCTTGAATGCTGCAGAGCTAGCCCATTGCTTGAACTCTCAAGACAGTGGCACTGCACTGTGCACCATGGGCTGCCTGCACCCCAGAAACACTGCACCCAGCCAGGCAAGAGCACAGGGGTGGCTGGAGCTCCCTCCCAGAACACACTCACCTGCCTCCTGCTCGTTTCTTATCTGCCACCTGCTCTTCATTTGACAGCAATCAATTTTTGTACTCAAAGTCCACGAACTCCTTATTCACCTCTTCTGTCTTCTCTGAGGGTTTCACAGGCCTGCACCATTGCTCTTCCAGGCTGGCGAGTTCTCAACCATATAATTACTCCTCCAGAAGTCTTTCCATAAACTGTGATTATTCCTGTCATCCTTCCCTAGGCCTTTTCCAGGTGTGCACTCCCAGCCAGGTGGCAGACATCACCTGCAAAGATCCAGGAAGGAGAGCTGGCAAAGCCAAACAAAACCGTATCACACCTGTGTCCATGCCTTCCTGCAAGCGGTTTTTTTTTTTTTTAATCTTCAAGTTACTTTTCCTCCCCAACGTCTCATTTGAGAAATAAAGCATGACTATTTATGCCAAACTTAATTTTATTTATTTTACAAACAAAAATATACATTTATTCTATATTTTCTCTCTTTTTACCACACCCCCCCACATAACACACTTTGCTCAAGAACCACTTTAAAGATGGCTCAAAGCATTATATATACATAAATACACAGCAGGAGGGTCAGTCCATGACCTAGTGCAGAAGCTCTTCAGCAGTAGAACATGGGACATTCCAGAAATACTGGAGTCCCACCAGCAAAGGACAGGATGGATGTGTTGACAACCTGCATAGGTGATCCTTCAGCACTGAATTCAGGTGGTAGCAAAGGCAAATTCGTAACAGGTTCTTCACATCACCTAGGAGGGCAGGTGAGTCTTTTCAGTCAGGGTGTATAAAGTCAACAAATACTCCTTGGGATGGAAAACCGTTTGCTCCTTTAGTTCTCAACTGCTTTGAAATAGTCATCTCTCTTGACTCTGTCCAAGGCTCAGGGAAGTTTTGCAGGTTCCCCCACCCTTCAACAGCAGCTCTGGATCAGTGTTGTAAGCAGCATCTGGAGCAGCAGCACAGCAATTCAGGCATCACATCATCCATCCCTTTTACAGCAAGCAGCCCAGCATGGCTCAGGCTGACTGACAGCAGTAACAGAAGAGCATGGAACACTTCTCTAACCTGGCAAGGGCTGACTTGGCAAGCCCTTGCAGTCATTGCATGAAATGGAAATGTGAAAGGCTGTGACCTACAAGAAACTACTCAACTCTAGCACACAGACAGATGGAAACCTCTTTTCCCCAAAAGCAAATAAAATAAAAATAAAACAAAAGGAGGGGGGTGTGGGTGAGTAGGGGCATTGTTTGTTTTCAAGGTGCCAGTGCTACTTAGAGGCCTGCAGGGCAAAGTACCCAGGCAGACAGAGAAACTGCATTGCTCATTAACAGAAAAAGATAAGCAAAGGCCTGCATAGTTTTGGCAACTGATATGAACTTCATGTTCTTACCCAGGTTTTCCTTCCCTGTGGTGGGAACACCTGGTAGCAAACACCATCCTCTATCTGCTAATGATCCACACCAATACCTTGTTAACTCTTACCTCAGTATTCTTCAACAATGGCAGTAAGTTGGGGCAAGAGATTCACACAGTCCCCAAACATTGCAAATTCCCTCTTTCTACCATCCCTAGTGGAAAGCTGCTTACAGCACATCTCCACCTACCTGGAGGACTCAGGTAGGAAAGCATCCCGAAATCTAGAGGAATACATGTCTTTATCCTTGGAAAGCACAGGATATCCCAGGAACCAGACTGATGCAGCCTTTATATGAACAGTCGCTGGATTGGAACACCATGTCTTGAAACTGCATGCCAGACAGCTCAGACAACAGGAGTCCTTCTTCCAGCATGGAAGATGTTAATAAGTTCCAGAAAGATTTTAAAAGGACCACTCCCCACATGCATGTAAGTATTTTCAACATATTGAGCCATAAAACTTACTAAGACCAGCAGCAGTCTGGGGATCTGAACTGCAGTGTAAGGGAAGGACACTGCCAGAGATACACATCCACCTCCCACTCCTCTCCCACTGCAGCACACCAACCAGTTTGATTCTAGCACAGCTAAGGTGTTTTAGTTTCCAGTCACTAAATTCTGACAGCTCAGACTCATCATAGGGCTCTGCTCTGCCTCAAGCACCTGAATGCTCTGGAGCCTTCATCTGCAGAGTCACTTCCTCCTTCACAGCACTCTCCAAGCCCCTGCCAAATCCACGAAGCAGGGGTGCAGATGGAAAATGCACCTACCTCACAGGTTTTACTCTAGAAACTCAGCCCTGATTCAGTGTTGTTACTTAGATTTTCCTGTGAGCTCAAATGCACAGCACTACAGCCTCCACACACTGGTTCACAGCTCCTTCAGCTCACCTAGACAGCAGCACTGTCTGTCCTTCTGTCTCCCTACTGTTTAGTCACTTCACATCCATGCTGTGAGCCACCAGCCTTCCCCAAAGGTTCCCTGGGAACAGAGAACAGTTCACTCCTCTTCATACCTTTTTCCCCATACACTGAGAACATTTCTTTTAGCCACTAGCAACTCCAATTCACAATTTTCACCAGTGTTAGCTGAAACCAGAGGTGAGCCCCAGTGACCAGCTTCCCCCGTCAGACACTATCACCACCTGTGCTGTTGCATTATGGCAAGATGCAGGCAGCCATGCTGCTTGAAAAAGCCCAGGAAGACCATCTTTGGTTTCAATCACCAAAAACTTTCTATATATGTACAATACAGCAGTCAAATCAGCACCCTCATTCCTAAACACCATTCCTCTAAGTGAGAGACAAGTGCTTTCAGTCACTGAAAAGGAAGATGTGCCAGCCAGGGCTATCTTCTGAGTCATATTCACATCTGGGACGTGGAGGATCAGGAAAGTTCAGTGTTTAAAGGTTTATGAACAAAACTGCTCCACAATGTTCTCAGGTAGAAACAAAGTGTTCTTTCCAAAAGGGTTTGGGCTGCCAACTTAGTTCCACGACAGGTTTTGGAAATCCCATGGACAAGAGGAAAGCCATGGCAGGTAGCCAAGGACAGATTGCCAGTGGACATCCTAACAGCTGTAGTATCAGGGAGTTTGGAAGGACAGGAACGAGGCATCATGTGATTGAGGTGCCCTGCCTCAGGCATTGATGGATTTCCAGCGGTCACTGTCTATGCTGTTGATGCTGCCCACGTGGTACGGCATAGAGGCCACATCGTCCAGGTAGGCTGTGGTGTCAATCTGAGTGCTCGAGTAGAACCCAGAATCCATTCCTTCCTTCTTGGCAACAGCATAAGGGTGGGGTAGGTGCACATCCACATCCTCAGGTTCATCCACCTGACATTTGTAGGAGAAAAGGATCTTCGGTTCTGACCTGGAGTGACGAAAGATTAAAATGCATGTTTAATCAGTGTGGTATCACAGCCACCTATCCTTAATTGAAACTCATCAGTGTGAAGAAATTGTGCATTCAGACCTCAAACACTCTTTAAATGAGCTTTTCGTCTAGAAATCTGTGGCAGAGTAACTTCCATAAAACAATGCTAAATTAAGATTTGGATGCAGTCACTTAAGAGGAATACAAATGGCAGAATCCTTACTCCACCGTGGGAAAAGAGTTCTCATCTTCAGGAGCTTTGAATTACTGAGAACAACAGCACCCAAACACTACTGAACCCCACAGCAGCCTGCTACTGACACCAGAATGAGTCAGAACAGGAGTTCACTTGAAGAACACTTCAAGTTCTACCTGTGTACATCAAGAAAACCAAAATGCAAACACTTGTGGATCAGCAGTTTTCATCTTTAACTCCAGACAGTGTTCCCTTTAACTTCAAAGGGATGCAGAGGTACATTTTTATATTTTAAAAGTACTTCATCTTCTTGGTTATTTTAAAGCCTGCTGTTTCTCGCTAATGACCAACAAATACTAAAGCCTACACTAAACCATTTTCCCACGAAGGTGCATTTCCTGTGAGTGGCCACACGGCGGCGACCCCGGCCTGAGAATCGACCTTCCCAGGGCTTTTCACTGGCGATTTTTGAGTTCACGGTAGTCCTCGGCCGAAGAGTTACTAAACTCCAACATACTTTCTACAAATTTATCCCAAAACCCACCCAGAAGACCGTTTAAGCTCCCAGGACTCAATTCCTCATTAAGCATTTAGCTATGAACTTCAGCAGAAAAACTTTGTTCTACACAGGATGCTGATGCTGAAGAAGTGATCCTCTGAAATGTGTGAGGAATACAGCCATCAGCTCTGCTCTGCATAGAAGTGAGCAGCCTCGGGCCACAGAAATTCTTCAAGGGCAGAAATTAAGATTGGTTCTCTAACCGGCATTCTAGTTGCTGTCTTTATTGTACAGATTGAGAGAACCTGAGTGAAAAATACTTAAATGACAATATACACCCGTCTAAACTCCTGTTCCTGGATACTCACCCAAAGAAACCTTTCAGGAATGCCACATAGATGAGAGGTGCAAAGAAGCTGAAGTAAAGGAACGTGGTAGCATCAACACAGCTGTCAACAGCAAAAGGGAACAAGAAGGGCTTTAGCACTCAAGCACAATACAGCTGGATAATACCACTCACATCCTCCCAAATAATCCAATATCTGTCCAAAGTATCCAGAGATCAAGAAAAAAATCATACCAAACGAATTTAAACTGATGCAAAGTAACAGCCATTGTCATCAACGTGTGTCACTGCTTCTAGACACTCAGGGGAAACATGCCAAAACCCAAGGTCTGAGCAAGAGCAGTCTCAGTGCTCCCAATTTTGACTCACATATCTGACACTGACCCCTGCAGAATGAGACCCCAGGTGTAAAGGCGTCTCCATATCTCCAGCAAACTATTTCCTGTCTTATTACCTAACAATGACCAGACATCAGTGGATTCACACTATTACTCTCACTCACCACCTCAAGACAACTGCAGCACACGCAGCTCCACAGCCTCTCCACTGGGGAGTTTCCTGATTACTTAGAGGTCTTTTGGCACAAAACAGAACCAACAGGTTTATTCCTTCTTAGGAACACAGCATAGGTTTGTTTTCTTGGGAGAGGCAGTGTTGAAGAACACTCAAATACAACACAAGACCCAGGGCTACAGACCTCTTCCCCCAGTGTACCTACCACAATCCTTCTATGATATCCACACAGAGGAGGGCACTGCCCAGGCCCTGTACCAGGTTCAGCAGTGCCAGAATGCCAGCATAAATATAAAAACTCTTCCTGGCTGTGGGAAAGACATGGACACACGTGAAGCTCAACCTCAAACACCAGGCCCACGGAAATATGTTTGATGGAGATGCCAAATCCAACAGAAGCTTCTCACCACCTTGCCTCTAAGAACTGC